CTAGTAGAACAAAAAAAAAAAAAAAGTGAACCTTCAAAGTTCAAAGTTCAAATCTCTCTGTGTAGTTTTTCAAGAGTTTCTAAGTTGTTTCTGTTCCTTCACTTTTCATATATAAAATTGTGAGGTGAAGGAACTGCTGGGTTTTCAGTTCATGGTCAGCAGGTGTGACACGTGGCAGCAGTGCAGAAACCTTTAGAGAGAGAAAGAGGGTGGTGGGATTTTTTGTACTATATGCCTGGGTTGGGGTTTATCTAGTTATGAAGTTTCTTTGATTCTGATTGGTTGGTCTGGATTTTGAGGGGTGAGTGTGGATGATAATCAATGAGTTTAAGATAGATTGTAATGACTAACTAAATGAGATTTTTAGAGTCACTATTTATGGGTCACTTTTGTTGCAAAAGAAAAAGATTCCATATTTTTCTTAGCTATTTATTAGTGACCCTCAATGAAAGGGAATTGATATTTTATGGTGTGTGCGTTTTATAGAGCTCCAAGTCTCTCATTTTCGTTCATACCAGCAAGCAAGCAAACAACTGTAAGAACAAACCAAATGGTCAGAGAGTAATGTGTGATAAATAGGGCTGAGCATTGGAGTTGGAGAATTCCAAACCGAACCGAAATCACTCCGACGCACGCTCATGATTAGACCGCTTCATGATTTAATTATTAGGTGAAATTAAAATAGCCAAAGGCTTTCACTCTTCAAGAACTTTTTTTGGAATCTCCGGATATCAATCTTCCTTAAACCTACTCAAACTATACTAGTAATTCATATACTCAAATAAAAGGCCCATAGTAGGCCCAAAGAAAATAAAGCTACATTGAGCCCATTATCACACACGAGCTCCGGACCAATGTGCTGAAAATCCGGTTGCCACAGAGATGAATATTCCGCCGGCGAAGACGATCAGATACACCACACTGAAATATAAGTTTCTGTGTGATGTATACTACAGTTTGCAGGCTGCTTTTGAGAATGGATACACCAAAAATTGTTCACACACACAATGATATTAAGGAAATTAACAAACAGGCGCTGATAATAACTTAATCACTATTAAAGGTATACAGTTGGTTCCAAATGGCAGTTGTATGGACGTTTTTTTCGTCAGTGTGACTCCACAAGCACATTCATAAATAAAAAGAAGAGATGTGAAGTACAAATCTCACTAACACTCGAACAAAAACATTCATATAGTCCGATGCATTGAATAATGAATACATTCCCCCACAACATGAATCCATCAATCGAATGTTAAATTCTGTCAAAAAAAGCCGTATTTTACAGTATAATCCTGCGCCTCAGCACAGATAACTGAACCTCAGTTCTCGGGAACATGAGAAAAGAATTCCTCTAGTTGGGTTTCACCCACAAGCACACCAAGTTTTTCCGACTGAACTGTACTTATTGTCTCTGCCCCAATGCTTTTCACAATGTCGACAGATGACATTTCCATGTACTCGTTCAAGTTGTGAGCAGTCCCATCTGTAAAAACAAAACACAGTAAGAAGATATTAATTGCAGACGGAAGTATGAAACATACAGCCAAAACAATCCATATTTATGTTCATTCCTAATAATGGAAGCTCGTACATGTGCGAAGTTTATATTGCGTGATTTTCACCAACGCTCAAGCAAACCCCGTGAAAAAAATTTACAAAGCAACTTGTAGAAGAAATTATTTAAATGTAGATTGGTTATAGAAAACTTTCACCTTTATGATGTTCATCACAAAAAATATTGTACCTTCAGCAACGATTACATCATATGATGGTGGTGGATGAATCCAATTTCCTGCAGAATCCTTCATGTGCCGTCTATCAGATGCAAACATTTTCAGGAATATCGGCCCATGCAATATCCGGAAAACCCTGAAATTAAAACCAATGTATTTACAAACTAATTACAGAACTTCACTCGAAAATAGTTGAGAGTTGATACGTGAGAAAACTTGTATCATTTTGTAATTTAATTTGCATATTTGAGTATTTGAGAGAATGTAATATTCAAGTTTTCTCACGTATTTTATTTTGTGAACGGACGTACAACAATATTTGATTTTGTATCTATTTTGTAGTTATTATGCCTATGGATGATGTGACATCGGAGAGGTGGCAAATAAAATAGGCAAGGATGTGGATTACGACTTAACATGGCCGAATACATGCAACAATATTCCCATTTGTTTGGTTTGACTTTTGAAGTGGAGTATTATTATTAGCTGTTGATGTGGCCGAGTTTAAAGGGAATTTTAATTCCCTTCGGGGGTTGAATTAGGTGACTTATGCGAGAGTGGTGCTGGGGGACTGGAATTGGTGGGAGTCTTGTGTTGGTTGACTTGGAAAGGAAGGTTTTGATTGGGCATATTAAATCAAAATCTATTAATACAGAATAATCACCGTTTATACCACACTTCTCATGGAATCGACCCTTGCTCGCCACTACTACTAGTTAGTAGGGGTTAGTCGAGCAAAATTTTATAAATCAAAATTTGCCGCGTTGCGATGCGCGGTCAAGAGTAAACCATGTGTAAGACCTTAACACAAGTTAACTGGTAGACGGTAGGTAATTATTCTCAGTAACTTCAGAAGTTCAGTGCATAAACACAAATTTCACAGAGAAATTTCAGGACATCACCTGATTATTACCTCTGATACTCAGAAAAAAGCTGAAACGACGGCCGAACAGTTTCGGCTACGTAAGTTGCTAGAGGAGATGGAAAAGGAAGACTCGAGTCTAAATCCCACACTAGATGAGGCACGTTGCTCTCTTTCCTTCTCTGCAAAAGAGATCACAAAAAAAATAAAATAAAAAATGATACTGCAATGAAGTTGAGTTGATGATCACACAATTCCATCTTCAATGAGATAGTATATAGGTTTTCGTCACCTGTACGCATATAACATGATAATCCCAGAGAATTACTCCATCTGCTCTATGGCTTGCCTTCTGATGCCACAATGGAATCTGATAATATATGCATTCAAAGGAAAATCAAACTATCTGAACACGAGCCTATGAGCCTAAAAAATGTGTTCCTTTTTTTTTCTTAGTAACTCGAAAATCTCGAAGACATCGACTTCTCACATTTTATTTTCCATTTATATCAGTACAGAGAAGATGACACAGATTACTTGCCTGCTTTTTTTCATTGGAAATGAACAGCACATATAGATCAGAAGCATCTGATCTCACCACCCCATCCTCAACCAGCTTTTTGCAGAGTAAGTATACATTTTCCTCACTATACACAATAACAAAAGGAACAA